GCGATGAACACCTCGGATATGGAAACGTTTGAAGACGATAAGTTCCTGCTTCATCGTGTCAAATTTTCGTTGCTACTTGTGCTGCAAATCCCAGCGATTGCACTCTCCCTACTCATCTTCCTCTTCTTTATGAAACATCGCGCTATCGTACGCGCTCCACACAACCAAGCTCTGCTGATCCTGCTGGTGGTGAACTTCGTTCAGCTAATATTCAATATGCCGCTTGCTCTCCGTTTCTATCGCCTGGGCCATGTGAGTCCAGCCACAGCGACCTACTGCACATGGTGGACCTTCTTTGAGTTTACACTATACGTGACGAGTGAATATCTAATGGCCACTATTTCTATTCAACGACACATGCTCATTTTTAACGGACACCTCCTACGAATCCGCCGAATGCGCATCCTGATACATAATCTACCACTCCTTTTCTGTCTCATCTATCCTGTGATGTTCTATTTGTTCGCCATCATTCTATATCCATGCGATGGCACCCAATGGGACTTTAATAGCAATCTGTGCGGTTTTGGTGATTGTTATCTTCTATTCGACAAAGCGCTAGGTACGTTCGACTGGGCGGTCAACAACGGCACGCCCATGATCATCAATGCGTTAGCCAATATGGCCCTGATTGTACGAGTAGTCAGGCAGAAGCGGCGCCTGCAACAGGCACTGACATGGCAGCAACAGCGGCGCATGACAGTGCAATTGCTCTGCATTTCAAGTCTTTACTTGGTCGCCTGGACGCCGTGTCTCGTCGTGGGTCTCGTGCAGATACTTGGTTATCCGAATTTTCTCGCTCAGATCCAAATGGACTACTTACTCGACCTCGTCTATATCGTGTGTTTCTTTCTTCCGTGGGTGTGTCTCGGTCTGCTTCCTGAGCTAACCAAATGGATCAGGAAATTGTGTGGCTGTCAACAAGTACACACCAAGGTCGGAACTACGCAAGTATTTCACATAGAAACAAGAATAAGAGCATAAACATAAAACCTAGTATTTGAGCTCATATTATAGTTTATAGAAAAATAAAAACTCATTCAATTAATCTCATTGTTGAAAAACAAAATGTTCCATTCCGTAGATCAAACTCGGACATCAGTACAGTCATTGGATTTTTCTTATTGACGAAGCCATAAAAGCCATGTTAGCTGCTTTACAGTCGTTTCAGTCCTCAACATACAATTGTACAGAACGATACGATTGTGTATGTCGAAGGTAAATCTATAGTAGATAACGTAGTTCGTGGTTATGATAGGATTTGGGCATGTTATCATGAAAATGGTAAAGGTAATATTAGTCAGTGTAGTCTGGAAGCTAGTATAATGTAGG